AGGGAATTCTATAAACCAGGAGAAGCTAAAAACCAAGAAATGCTACAAACCAGGAAATGTTACAAACCAGGAAAAGCTACAAACTAGGACAAGCTACAAACCAGGAAATGCTACAAACCAGGAAATGCTACAGACCAGGAAAAGCAAAAAAAACAGGAAATGCTACAAACCAGGAAAAGCTACAAACTAGGAAATGCTACAAACCAGGGAATGCTACAAACCAGGAAATGCTACAAACTATGAATAGTTACAAACCAGGAAAAGCTACAAACCAGGAAATGCTACAAACCAGGAAATGCTACAAACTATGAATAGTTACAAACCAGGAAAAGCAAAAAATGGGAAAAGCTACAAACAAGGACAAGCTATCTATGCTAACTATGAAAGGAAAATAAATCAATTAAATTCTCACATTTGAGTCAAACATCAGCCTAAAAGACATGAAGAGTTTCTCAGATTTTGGATGCATTTCTTTTAATTCCCACGTTTTTTCCCGCTCAGCAGAATCACTGAGCTTTAAATAAAACGATCCCAAAGCAGCTACAGAGAACCGAAACAGAAAGCTGTGAGCTGAAGGCTTTCCACATAGTTTTGCCTTTTCTGGTGTCCAGCTGTCTGCTCGTTTTGTGGAATCCACCCAAAATATGTGCAGATATGTGAAGGAAATGAGTACATCATGTAAACAAAACCACAAAACTCACTAAAAATGTAATAAAATGTACTCAGAAAAATGGATTTCTATATTTTTAAAAGCAATAAAGATCTAAACGCTGTTACTTCTGTAAATGATCTCCACATTCTAGTTTAATGAGCCTTAAAAAAACTTGTCAAATCAGAAGAAATATATTTGTTTTTTTGAGAATGGTAAATGTTTAACTTGGTGTTTGAGCTTTTCTGTTGGTGTCAGAACAGCCGTTTGTTATTTAATCAGACGGAGTCTGGTTAGGAGGAGGAGGATGCTAATTATAGGCACTTTAGAGGTTTTCACAACCACAAAACCTCCTAAATCACCAATAATTTACACGTCCAGCCCGGCAGTGTGCACGTGACAGAGTCTGATTCATTATGATTCATTAGCAGAGATAATTAAAGAAAAGAGCTTCTGGAAAAAACATGGCTGAAAGATTAATTAGTGGTCGAGAGAAAAAACCTCCAAAAGGTCTTGAAAAGACCCTAAAGCAGTAAACAACCCAATGATCAGAGACAAAACACTGGTATCAAACCCAAAATATTCTATTTTCTATAAATTATATGGTAAACATTGAGCAACAGGTCTGTGGATTTGAGCTCATTTCGTTCTTTAACCCTTTAAAGCCCGATCCAAGAATTAAACAAAACAGAAAATTACTTTTTTTGGTTT